AATCATGGTTACCGTCTGGATAAAATTTTGTTTGGTTGACTCTGGTAAATGATGGCCGCTGCAGGCACTTCGGAGGACTGAGTCGATTCCTAGTTAAAGTAACAACCCAAAAAACAATTATAGAAAACGGGTTTTCCTAAACCGAGGTCGCTCCTCGGCATGCAAAGAGAAACATCCGGGTGTCTTTTCTTTATTGTCTTTGCTTCGGAATCATCAAGAGACGCTCCGACCTTAGCCAAGTCGACAGCCCTCTCATTTCTGTGTATGTTTCTATAGTCGGGAACCCAGATGAGGAAGATGTCCTCTCTCTATTTTTACAGGCTCTTTCGTTAGTCTCTAATTATTTATTTACAGGCTCTTTCGTTAGTCGGAAAGAGATAGAGAGACATTCAGGGAACACCTCCGCAACCCCACCGCAGTCCATTTTGGGCAGTCAGTGAAGATTTCAGTGGAATTCGCTTCGACTATCCTGCCCCTACTACAATCCCTTTCTGAAGTAGCCTGACTCTTTGAGTGTGATTGCCGAGGACGCAGCGATTTCGCGGATATGAATTTCTATTGACAGTTTATGCAGGATCATATTAAGCGCTTCAGATGGACACGACTTAATTGCTCCTGTAGCACCTGACAAAGCTGCTCTTTGCATACTGCGTAATTATCTGACGTTGTATTGATTATCTATTACGTTGTATTGATTAGCTATTACACCCACTTTTTATTGCCCAGGTGTTTAGTCCGAGCAGAGCTTCCTCTAGGATTTCGCTTATCGTTGATGGGAAGAGCCCTCATACCATCACCACTACAAATTAGCTATGACACCTGGAGACATTACGTCATATTCTTCACGCCACCACTAAAGGAATATTATACGGACAAGCTTCGTGCTTCCTGTCGCAATATCCCCAGCATTTTCGATATTCCGTTGATGTCGGCCTTGTATTTGCCGAGGACATCCAGCAGTTGGATAGAGGCATCACCCCTTTAAGGCAGCTGCCTATCCGTAAATCGTAGTCCATGTTTCCTCATGTGGGTTCTTCAACGTGGGGAGGTCAATATCCGAGGCTTTCATTTTAATAGCAAGTAAAAAAAGCTCTCGATGAAACTTACTAAAATTAGAGAAATTGTGTAGCCAAAAAGTAGTAATATTCGGTCTCTATGTCGTGTAGGTGAAATTCCCAATCGTACGGATGAATGAATTTTCTTAATTCACTCTGGGCAACTCGCAGCAATCTTTCAATAAGAACTCAGTTGAAATGTGTACATGATCCCCGGGGTTCTCAAGAGGCTCCTTCTATGTTAATATTTGTGTTTTCATTTCGCATGTGTGAGCAATCAAAATCCACAGGAACCAACAGCGGGAGATTTGAGTTAGTGATTCGGAAATCGATTGGTCGCTGATTCGCGAAAATTCAACGAAAAAATCTACGAAGCGGACATGCTTGACTTGGGAAAATATTCAAGCCAAGTAGATGAATCAACGTCAAGGCGATGAGTAAGAAAGGAGGCGAGGGGGAAAAATTTACGGGTGCAACTAAATAAAGTAGATTTCAGAAAGATGATAAGGTATGAAGTCAGCAAAACGTTTGCTTTATGTAAAAACGAACGGGACTTGCAAAATAATTAATTATTAAATATCTGCATTAGGGTGTCCCGCTTTTTCCACCGTTATTACAAAATTCTTTACATTCTAAGGTTTCCGCCAAAAGATTGTATGGAGATTAGGATGCATCATTCTGCATACAAAAAAAAAAGACCGGTATTTTTTTTCTATTGGAGTTATAAAATTTAATACACCGTGCGACAAAATCAAAAAAATCTCCAAGCACACGAATGTATCGATATACTCACGAAACTATGGGCCAAATATAATAAAACTGCTTAACTCTGCCGTCAGGATTTTTTTTTCAAAGGACTTTAAAATTTTAAAGATATGGTTGATTCAAAAAATTATTTTGAAAACACAGAGCAATGTAGAATAACAATAAGGGTATAATATAAAAGAAAAATTCTGTTTTACTATAATTTACCCGTAGTTTCGCGAATATATTAATTTTTTGTGTATAAAATTTGCTGTCGCGCGGTATTATATTTTCAGATTTCCACCAAAATATTTGATAAAAATATTAAGATTTACGCGAGCTGTGAAAATAATTCCAAAATCGATTTTTTTTTTTATTAACAAAAAAACAAAAACATTTTTTCCAAAAAATCTCATCAGTTTATTCTGCATAAAATTAAAAAAAAAGGTACCAATGGAATCAAAATATTTCAGCTCACGTAAATCTTAATATTTTTACGAAATATTTTTTGGCGAAAGTCTTATCTAAAATATAATAGGTTTTTTAATTCCAATGGAAAAACAATACCGGTTATTTAAGTTTTTTTGTATGGTGAAAGGCGCACCCTAATATGTCTACATGCATTTACCTATGCCTACATGCATTTACCTATGCACATATGCATGCATGTACATGTATGTCCATTTATAATCGCTCACGTGTGCATCACATTTCCCCACTGCATTCAAGTAGTTGTGGAAATTTTCAATATTTTATTCAGCACTTGGGAGTCGAAAAAATTGGTATTTCGAGCGGCCGCATATACAAAAACAAGCACGCATTTCACACACACACACACAAACGCAAAAGTAGCATTGCAACGCCGCCAGACAGCATGGCGCCATTGATATGCTGTTGGCATTTCTTCAACGCAAGGACGCTCAGCATACGGCGACGACGATGGCCAACAGCGCAGGCGCCCAAGGTGCATTTGGCATGGCTCAATGCACATGAGTGCCTGAGATAGTACTCGAGCGGCTAAGATGGTGATGATGCAGCCGTTCAAGGAGCAAACGCTACTTTGGCAATATTGTTGGATGTACATAAATATTTGCCATTTACCTATGTACATTAGGGTGGTCCAAAATAAGTAAGGATTGTTATATATCGAGGAAAAGTATACCCCTATTTTTTTATTTGGAAATCAAAAAATATTTAGATGTAAAATACATGGACAACTTTGAGCGCTTTGAGCGACCTCTAAATATTTTCTGATTTCAAAATGAACAAATAAGGACATATTTTTTTCGGTATAGAACAATCCTAGGGAGTGAGAGCATTCAAATTCCGACTTTACTTTTTTACATGCGTTTTGGACCACCCTAATGTACATACACACATACATATATAAGTACCTACATACATATGTATGCGCGCTTGAGCAATGCAATTTTGTGGCACATTCTTTAGAACGCGCCAAAATCGCAGCATGCCATTGTGTGTGTGTGTGTGTGTGTGTGTGTGTGTGTGTTTCTCTTGCCCGCTTAAGTGAGCGCGTGAGAAAATACTAAAAATCGCTGCTGTTGCTCACTTTCCAAAACAGCACATTCGGCCAAATCAGCCGAGCGAAAATTCATGCAGTTTTTACGGTCAGACAACAGCGCCCTCCGGTAGGCCCTTAACACGCCTGGCATTGGTGTGACTAAGGTGAAGTCACAGCGCAGGAAAAAGCAAATATGTATTTCCAACTAAGCAATTGCAACGCGTGGAGTATTTAGTTAAGCAATTAGCATGTGGCACATTAGAGAGCGCCTAGCTGATGCAGTACTTTTGTACAAACATACAAACATACTCAATTGGCACACATGTGTCCATTTCATACCTTTGACTAACAGACCTAACTGCTGATAGTAGCACGTACGCCTACCTCTATAACACGTGTGTGAAATTTTGGCTTTTATTTAATTTTTCCTTCAAAATTTCTAAAAATTTGTTTTTTCCGCATTTTAGATATTTACGTACATACATACATATGTACTATGCACACACTGCATATGAAGGTTAGCGCAATTTTAGGAAAGAAGAATCCTCATATGGACATACAGTGTACGCGGTACGCATATGTAAGCGTCCAAGTGCACACATATGTAGTATGTATGGTGGTATGAATAAAGGAGCAAATTCTCATGAACTGTATACAGATGCAAAGAATCAAATTAATTAATAAAAATTGAAGGATTACGAAAAATATCTATAACTATTTTGGCAAACGAATTGATAACCCTTTTCGTGGAGAAACTAATTAAAATAACACCGACAAATGTATCGGTAAAGAAACGTCCCAACATTGGATAATCCATTTTGTATTTTTTTTTTTTTTGTATAAATACATATACATATATGATATAGAAAATCGTAACAGCGTCATTTTTGGGTTTTCCAAGTTAAAGGCTGTTTACAGCTCTCAAGAAAAATCACACGAAATATTTTTCATTATTTCTTTTGCTTGAAAAAGTACTTTGCAGTGGCTGTAAATTCTCTTGATGAAATAAATATACATACGAACATTTTTTCCTTGAGAGCTGCAAACTGATTTAAGATACAATTTTTGATAGAAGAAAATTTACTTTTGCATTTCTTGTGCGTCATTTTATATGCAAATTTCGTTTTTCCTGAGAGCTGCAAACAGCGCTTTAGCGATGTATAATTTTTGAACAGAAAAAGTAGATATTTCCTAAAAAAACAACTTTTAAGGAGAGTCAGTTCAGCTAATAACACTGTGAAAAGTTTGTTTGATCGATCACAGAGTGTTGTTATCTAAAAATTTTTATTTGGAATGAGTTCAGCTCAAAAAAAGAGCATCTGTGAAGTGCAGAACGAAATCGTATTCAAACGAAAAAAACTTCAAAAACAAATCTGTTTAAAGCAAAAAAAGGCCCTTTTGAAACCATGAATATGATTTATTTTTTTTTTTTGTGTAGTATCAGATTCGAAATCTAAACTCTAAAAACCCTTGAATGAGGAAATTTTGTAAATACTCATCACTCCAGGAACGCTAACGGTTATAACTTTGGTTGAAAAAATTACATTTCAATAATATTTACTGCTCCTAAAATACTCGTCACTTTTTTGCTCAGAAATTAATCGTTATTTTTTGCATCGAAAACAAACTTAGTTTTTTATTAGAACATAAAACTCAATTTTTGTTATTTTTTCGCTTAGAAATCACAAGTGGCTTCTTGTGTTTTCCGAAAGGGCCGGTACTGAACACAAAAATCGTCAAAGAAGTGTCATTAGAAGTAAATGAAGACGAACAAAGAAAAGAAGACGGAAATGAACGCGAAGACGATTACAAAGATGAAAACGAATACGAAAACGAAGACCAGAAGAAAGACGAAGACGAAAACGGCAACGGAATTAGAGACCAAGACGAAAACCTATTACCATAACCCTTCCCATTATCATTGTTTATACTAGTACCATTATTATTGTTATAACTATTACCATTAGCATTACCATGCCATTACAATTACCAATACTATTACAATTATAATTACCATTAACTTTACCATTACAATTACCAGTACTATTACAATTACTATTATCATCAACATACCGTTAGCATTACAATTACCATAACCATTATCATTACCTTTGCAATTAGCATTAGCAGTACCATTACCATTACCTTTAAGATTACTATTATTATTACCATTATCGTTTACCGTTATCTTTAGACTTATCTGCCCTTATCTGCGTGGGTGCCTTTTTCGGCGCCTTTGTCTTTACAACGAGTATATTAGTTTACTTCTTTTGTTCGCAGCATTTCTGTTTTAGCATAATTTTTGAGTTAAAATTTTTTATAATAATGATTAATTTCGGTCACCAAGGTCCCGCACTTTAACGCCCTTGGATAACTTTTTTTTGTGGCGAATGCTTTCATTGATTTTTGCTTAATAACACTGGGAGCCGTTAAAAAATACATACGTATATAGAAACTAGCCACTTTTTGATGTTCTTTGGTACAAAGATAGACACAGGTAAAAGTTATATTTATCCCCAAAGAGGGTAAATCTTCACACACCAAACCCAATGAGTTCACACCAATAAGCCTCTCGTTCTTCCTACTGAAGTCACTAGAGCGCATAGTGGACATCCAAATTGGGGACGCAGTTGGTCCACAGCTCTCTACTTCCCAACATGCATACAACATAGGAAAGTACACAGCCTTATCCTTGACATCGAAAAATCTTGCATCTCTATGCTCTATCTGTCTTCTTGAGCATTGAAGGTGCTTTCAATAATATCAGTCCGGATGCTGTCATTTCACCGCTCCAAGAACTTGCACTTTGCAACACGCTGGTAGCGTTTGTCAACCATCTCCTCCCAGATCGAGTCATAAACTCAGAACTGGGAGACTCCGGGAGACACACCGACTACATCCCACCCACCTGCACTTCCGAGACCAGATTCAGGACCCCTCTTCCCTCAAGGGAGGAATGTTCAATGGACGCAGTCAGGAAAAGAGCACAAATCCCTGCTTATACGGATGGATCGAAGCTCGACAAATGAGTTGGTGGTGTGGTTTATTCGGAAGAGTTAGGCATATCGTCCAGCTTCCACCTTCCTGACTACTGCCGTGTTTGTTTTTTCAACTAGAACTGATGGCTATCTCAAAAGCCGCATTACTGATGCAGTGTGTTGCGATTCCTAGTCAAGATATCTACATTTTCACTGACAGCCAGGCGCCTATAAAGCTCTGGTAAATACGTCGCTGACTTCAAAAGCAGTTGCTCAATGCCGCTGGTCTCTCAACGAGATGGCTGAAACATTCAGCACGCACGTCGTTTCGATACCTGGCCATTGCGACACTCAGGGAAATTGCTAGGCTGACGAACTCGTGCGTCATGGAATTACTTTGCCATGTTACAGACAAAAGCGATACTCTCGGCATCCTTCTTCAAACATGCGAATTTCTACTGAGTGAAAAATTCATAGAAGTTGCCAATGAAAGATGGCGAATGCAACCGCCTGTCACATTGCCAAAACACTCGGACCAACCACAAATGCCCAACGCACCAAGCCTCTAATTAATATAAGTAGGCAGCATATTCGAATAGTGAGTGGAGTTCTCGCCAGACATTGTCTAATTGAATCGCACGGAGCTAGGCCGGATGCACCCTGGAACGACTACTGCAGAAACTGCATACGAAGAAATAGGAATCTCACATCTTCTCTGCCATTGCTCGGCTCTATCAATACACAGAGTAAAAGCTCTTGAAAGTCATTTCCTCAACGATCTCGATGACCTCAAAGCGATGAACATTAGAAGCCTATGCACGAAGTGATTAGCAGCGGAACGGAGATAAATAAAAACCTCATGCGGTATCCCAAAGCACCCTGAGTCTAAGTGAGTCCCACTCTAGGACTGCCGCCAAACTTAACATAAACTTGGTACGCTTGAAAAGGGTTACGGTATGCACGCTAGCTACAGTAAAGTTTTCAGCTCAAATCAATTGATTTCGATATCTATGAATATCAGCAATGCACTTAGAAGGCTTTTAGTGCAAAAGAGAATAATTGAGAACTGATTAGTCTAAAAGATCATATAAATAATTGGAAGATAAATTGATTTTTTGAAGATATAGAAACTTAAGTCAATGAACTTTAAAGGTTTTGTGTAAATGAAGCAGAAGCATACATACAAACATGACATATTTAGTATTTATGTAACATATATGTATGCACATATATGCACAAATGAACATATGTGCACATATCTACATGTATACAAAATTGTTATTATCATTTATAGGTTAACGTAGAAGCTGTCATACATTTAGTAGGGCACAAGTTGAAAATATACGACCTAGAGAACTGTGAGGTTATTCAACTCAGAAATAAAGTCACTCGGGTTAATGATGTGACATGTGGATATGCATAAATGCATGTCGAACTACATACATGCATACATATGTATCACCGATCTCGATTGTCATAACCCTGCAAAAACTGCGACTAATCCGGGATGACTCCGGGAGCAATCGAAAAGGAGCATCCGACTAATACCACTTTTGATCTCTTTATATGGAATGAACTGTTCGCTTTTGTTCGAGCATACGACTAGTCACTTTTAAAAAATAAAAATAAAAATTTGCGCCAGCTGCGATTCGAACCGGGGTTCTCAGCAGTGTTGCCGCGAAACATTTTTAGCGGTAGCTAAATTCAGGCTAAAAAAGGGCTAAAAAAGAGCTAAAAATCGTCGTTGTGGCTAAAAATGGTAGCTAAATTTTTTACCTACATATAAATATATAAGTATACACGCAAACATTTTCTATAAGTAATGATATAGAAAAACAATGAACTCTGGAAAGAATTAATATTTTATTCAATAAAAGAACTTGTTGTGTAACACATAAAGCATATTAAGGGCCGCCAACTTACCTATTTTAAAGTATAGTTAAATCGTTATTGGATAAGATAACGGCCCAGAAACGTAAAAAACATACATATACATATGTTATTAATTAATTAATTTTTTACATAAACAAAAAAATGAGATCACATTAAGAATACATAAGTACTAGAATCATATCTATATACAGTGTCGGACAATACTAAATAACTTAAATAATTTCAAACTATGCTTCGAAAAATATCCATTTGTAAAAGAAATTTTTAAAATGTTATGTTATAATTCACAAAGAATTAAAATGTCGGTGCTTTATTATTGCCCGACGCTTTATGTATCAAACAAACAAAAGAGTATTCATTTAATGAACTCATAGTAAAATAATTTAATCTATACAAATTTTTTTTAATACATTAAATATCTATATCTATATCAATACTATCATCGCTAAGCGATTCTTCGTCGTTACAATTTTGTTCATTTCTCATTAACCTGACGATATCATCTGTAATTTCAAAATCATGATAACATTTCTGTACATTTTTTAAGCCATATCTTACAGTTAATAAAGCGTTTAACATTGCAAAATTCATTTTATTTCTGTGCTTATTTTTAACGAAATTTATTATAGAAAACGTCCTTTCAACTTCTGCGTTACTTAAAGGTAAAAGAAGCAACCGATAAACAAACTTTTTCCACCACTTAAGCTAGCGACACAATGAACAGTTTATTTGCCTTAAAGGAAAGGCGTTCGCTTTATAAGCGAAGAGTTAAATTCATGAAAATCATATAAAAAATTTTAATGTCAATGATGAATAAATTTTGAAAAGGGCTAAAAAAAGGGCTAGGGGCAATTTCAAATTTTTGTGGCAAAAAAAAGAATTTGGTAGCCATTTTAGCCACCAAAGGGTTAAAACGGCAACACTGGTTCTCAGTTTCGTTAATAGTACCCGTTAGAGATGAGTCGGGGGGTAATTGATCTCCAATAGTACCCGCATGAGACTAGTTGCGACTAATTAAGTAATGCCCAATTGTACCCGATTGAGAGTAATCTCGGAATACTCTCTTTAGAGAGTTGTCGCAACATTTTTTGCAGGGAAATTATCAAAGTAAGCGCGAACTGTCCTGCAGAGCAAAGCTGTGGAAGCATCTTTAGTTGTTGCTAACACTCCACATCCAAAGATATTTTCACAACAAATTGCATACAAAATGAGTGAGGTGCTATAAAAAAGTTAACTTTACAGTTATATTGCATATTCAACTATATACATATGTACATATATTTATGTATATACAAGCATGCACATATACCTACATATTTACACAATTTAAGTTTTACAATAAGGAAGTTGTGGCCCAGTTTTGAAAATTTTTGGATTTTTTTCACATTTTTGCTTTGAACGTGTAAATGTTTACGTACGTATGTATACAAATACATGCATATATGCATTTATTCATATATATGTAAATTGCAGTTTACAACACTCCTGTATGTATGTATATCCAATGCAGCTAGCCCCGTCGACGTCACTGCCCATCTGTCGATGTTGTTTTCAATTTTTTTTTTAATTTTTTTTTGAATTTTTAAATAAAACTACAAAGTTTTATTTATTCTGCTACATAAGCAGGTCAGTATTTAGTTAAATAGTATTGAAAGTAAGTAATCTGTAAGAAATTTCTCAATTTTCAAGCCTGAACTACAGGAAAATTGGTTTGCATTGCTTTTGATCGACAAACATACAGAAAAGCTTAAAATAATAGGGTAATTTCTCATCAAACACCTAAGAATTTAATAAATTTATTCGCAACATTAATGCACAGCAACGAACGCAAAAGCCGCATTTAAATTCTAAAATTTTTACTATGCAAAATGCAAATCTTCGAAAAAAACGTAAATTTTCACAAAATCGTAGCTTTGCATAGAAATCGGATGCAAATTAAATGCAGCTAGAACTATGTTCGTAGCGGTTGTTCACTTCTTCACTATTTTGTTCACCATTTAAACTCTAGGTGCAATGCCCATTCAATTATTTCACG